ATTCATCTGATATTGTGTTTACCTACTTTTGAGAACTGCTAAGGACCAGATGATTTTTATTATGTTCTGATACATAAAACCATATTACTCAAAGGGAGTGTACTTTTTTTTCTGTAGATAAGAAGGAAACAAGTTAAGGAAACAGGAAAAAATGTCACCTGAACCAAAGGAAGTTGGCCTTCAGCACATGGAAACCTCTCCCCAACAGCTACCAGACTTGTAAATTAACAAGGCAAGAGCAGCTGCCAGCTTAAGCAAGGACTTTTGGGGATAAAAGGGGTCCTGAAGGCTGCCCACTCGAGTCATCTTTGAGCTGTCTTTGGATCCAGACTTGGTGGCTTCCATCCCTCTAGCTAGTGCATGGGAGCCTAGTTGAGAAGAATGTGGGTAAGTGTGGATGAGTGTGTGCATGTGTGTGAGAAAGAGTAAATGTACATTGTAACCAGTAAAGTTTTGCTTTTCCTTTAAATTCACTGGGTCTCCATGTATTCCAAAGAACCTGTTGTGCCTCAGTGTTTGGTTGAAAGTGATTGTGTGTGTCCTTAATTACTTCCCTCCTGTTGCCCAGGGCTTGTCTGCTCTCTGAAAAACCCAAGTAGAAAGCAAGGGGGGCTTACAAGATCCACTTGCCTCAACAGGTTGTGAGTGTGTGAGTGAGTGACCATAAGCTGAACCCTTGAGTCCTTGAAACACTTGACTATTGGGGATTCTTAGAATGCAATATATCCTGTTTCTGATGGAGTTAAGGATCAGTGGGATTATGGGAAAAAGTAGAAGAGCTTTCTGGGTCATTTATGGAAGAACATGTTCTCTATTAAGGCGTTGCCCATACAGTATGCACCTGCTATAGTACTATGGGCATTAATTATTGTGCCTGAAGGCAAGTCAGAGTAAGATAACAGAGTATGCTCCCTCAGCAGTATCTCCAGAGATGAACTAGAGATTTTTGGTGATAAAACTATACCAAAATTGGACCACAGTTCTCTAGATCTAAAAGAACTGCAACAGCTCCTGTCAAAATTTGATAAGAAAATGTTCAGTAGTCACCATCTTGAATCCAAGCCTGGGGGTGGAAAATGGAAGATGGTCACTCACTCAGATACCAGAGAAAAGTTGGGTTACTTCAATTAACAATCTTAAATAATTTAAGATGTTTCTTGTCAACTCTGAACAAACAATTTAAGTATTTGAAGAAAGCTATCATATTCTCCCAGAATCTTTTCTTCTCCAGGCTAAACATGCCCATCTTGGTTGCTCTCCTCTGGACTTGCTCTACTTTGTCAATATCCTTCATAAAATATGGCGTTGCAAATATTTTAGGTGTGGCCTGTCACCACAGAATAGAGAGGAACAATGGCTCATCTTGATTTCTGGTGACAGAACCTAGGATTTCATTTCCTTTTTTTTCTTTTTTTTTTTTGCAACTGCATCACACTGTTGGCTCAGATTCAGCTTGTGATCTCCCATGATGCCCAGGGTCTTTCAACAGCACTAATGCCCATTATGTTCCACCCCTCCCTTGATTTGCATGACAGTGTCTATATAGAAATATAGAAATCAGTGTTGGCTACATTGGCTGATGTGGCCAACAGCTTACCCACATGTCTAAATACAATGCATTTTCCTATGTTCTAGATAGTACAGATTTAGACACACCAGAATCTTTCACAAAGCTCCTCATGAAAGAAGACTTAGCAGGCAGGGTGTAAGAGAAGTCCTCTTATGGACAGTAATAAGATGAACAGCAGGAATAAATTGACAGCCTTTGCTTTACTGAAGGAA